GGTCGACTGCATAGGAATACCGCTCTCTGTAGGTTGTGCTTTCGCTCTGCAACGTGGTCTTTGAGTCAACAGTGGTCTTTAACTCACTCTCGAGTTTGAGCAAGGCGAATTCCTCCATTACACGAAGCTGCACGATGAAGGACCCAGATTTGGTGGCACGGTCCTACGCTCCGACTACCTGAGGAAGGTGCGATGAGGAGGACCCAAAGCAATCCTTTGCCAAATGCGGAAGCTGAGCGAAGCAACACGCTAGAGTGTTTTGGCTTGTGGACACTGGGAGGGAAGAGTCGAAGTGTTGTATAAGGCTAAACTTCTGTATGTTAGACTGTCGAGGTTTGGTGATGCGTGGTGCGAGAGTGAGGAGGCACGGGCAGTGCCTTGGCTCCGAGATGGGGAGGCAGCTTAATGAAGGCGACGTCCAGCTGGGTGGAATAACAGTGCAGGGGTAGTGGGTGGTAGGGTGAATGGATTTTGATCTAAAGTCCTAACAATGCAATGCACTAAAGTCCTGTTTGATTCGCATTTTTGGTAGGAAGCCATCTGTGGCTTTAAGACATATTAGTTTATTAAATTGTTTTTTGTAGAAAAGGGTGATAACTAAATCCGAAAGCCGTTTTCGAGGGGTCCGCAGTGGAGGCGTCTTCCTCCGATAAGTGAATCTCGTCTTCTACACACCTATTGACTGCTAAAACCATGGAATGATAAATAAACTTCTCTCAGAAAATATCTCTATCGGAAATCTTAGAGAGGAGAAGCCCAAACCTGCTATAGTGGCGGCAGCGTTAGCGAACGTTGCGCCCTTAAAACAAAATCTGAACTTCCACAAATGACTAACACTTACCAGGTACAATCGTGGCATGTAGACCGAATCATAAAAGGTCTCTGTACTTCTTCTAGCCCTTCCCTTCAACTTCATTAACGAGGCTCTGGAAGCTGGAGTGTCCTTCTCCTTCGACATTAACCAGTGCTGCGCGGAGTCAGCCAAGTTAGCACTCACTCGAAAGAACAAGTTTCTGATCCATGACCTTTTCCTCAGGTATCGAAAGCCGGGCGAGGTTGACGAAGATTTCCCCAAAAAGAACAACAATTCGCGTCGTGGGTGGTCGCTCAGTTTAAAACAGGAACCCTCGCATTCCATTTGGCGAAACAACTCCTCCCCATGGGATCCTGCAAAATCAGCTTACTTCTCGGCATAGTAGCCGCCATACGTCGAGAAATTCAACTGCAAGCAGGGTTTTACGCTCTGTTTTCGTTCTGGACTTCCCAGCGTTGGCAAAAATCTACAAAACGAGGACGCACTCCTCCGGGCAATGTCCTTAAAACCAGTAAGCTGCAGTTCTCTTTGCCTTACCTACTTCTGTCTCGATTTCTTACACTTTTGTGGGTTTGAAGCAGCCTGGAAAGATGCGCATGCACTTTAATTCTGGACTCGATGGCAGCTCACTCGTTACATAACTTACGAGCTTACCCCATGGTATACAGCAAGCTTCGGATCGCTCTACTGTCTGCTAAACTGGGCCCTACAAATGGAAAGGGAACATCGGAAAAGTGGAAGAGGTATCCATTAGGGTCACAATCGGGGAGGAAAGTTGGGAAGTAAATTACGTTCTGTGCTCATAAATTCTCGAATATTTGCTGAACTGTACAAAATTTCGGGAAACGCAAAACATGTACGACTCTTGAAAATTGCCAGGTTGGTGTACAAGAGGATCGAACGACTAGTATGCTCGTAAACCTCTTGAAGGCTTTTACAAGGAGCGTACAACCCCAAAGACTGGAATCTGCACTTGGAATGTGCCCTTCCAATATGCCAGGCTACCGCCCTCACAAATAGCAAAAAGAGGGTCCTTTCGAACACCTATCTTCTCAGCAAGGAAACGGTGGCAGACAATGAGCTCAAGTACACCGTGAAACCTAAAGAAGACCTATGGAAGGATACGTTCGCATGAAAGTTTCTATAAAAGGTGGGTTTTAACTAATGTTTACAAGGGAGAAGAATTGATTTAGGTACAAAGGCCATTCCCACCCCCCGGAAGCTCTACCATCCCTGGAGTAAAAAACCCTACAGCCTGGTTTAGTTTTGCCCCTAACAAACAATCTTTTCGAAATACAGAGCTACGTAGCCGTACGATAACAATCAACCATAAAAGATACTCCATATGCAGGCGATCTACTAACAAGTTACGAAGACGAGGTGTCCGAGCAGGAAGCAATGATCTAAAGAGAAGAGGG